TCCGCATTCCTCCGGGGTTGCTGGAGTAAGTGTCTGGAGAGAGGGAAGTCTGGGCATCTTTGCTTAGACTGCTGGCCCCGCGACCCGGTCCCGGATAAGCGGAGGAAAATGGATGGATGGATGTCTTCTACTGGTTGAGTTTTACCTTGATAAAAGATTAACCATCTTGCCCATTTGACTGATCCCTGTTTTAATAACCAGCTGTTAGTCCTCTGTTTACAATATGATACACAGTATAGTGAAAACATCCTGCTGGCTGTTGGCTCAGGATATGTCTCTTTCCAGTTGTCATAACACAGCTTTTCTCTTCCACATCATCAGCACTTTAAAGGACAACTTTTATTTGTGTAGCTCCAGCCCACAGTTCTGATTTGTATGATTAATCAGCGGCTTAGCCTCATTACTTAAAACACTTCAGTTAGACATAAAAGTAAAAGTTAGAACGGCCAAAATGAAAACCATGAGTCAGTCTGGGACGAATGTTTAAAATGTACAATTTCGCTTTTTTCCCCTTATATAGAAGTCTGTTTACAAACTGTATGATTGTTAGACTGCTCAGCAATTATTTTCTTGTGTGCAAACTTATAACAAATATAACGGGTTGTAAAAATTGTAATTTAACACTAAAGTTGATAACTATTTGAAACAAGATTAACACTTCTTATTTATAGAATGCTTTTCAAGGTACTCAAAGATTTTACATGACAAATTAAATAATAGCGCAGGAACTAGCAGCTCAAGAGAGTTTGGCTGGTGTACTGATGAGATAATATTGATTTGGCTTAAAAGAAAACCACATCTCAGTCATTTGGACAGCACTATCTTGTGTTGCTGAGCCCGACACTTTTGCAACGGGTGCAGAGGGTGAATGGTATCCCCCTCTAACGCCACAAGTCCTATCTTTATGTGTCCCTTCCAGTGAGCACCCAGCGCCCGAGCTCCCTGTCGGTTCCAGCAGCAGCAGAGCCTGGCCTGTGGATGTCACAGAACGATGCAGAAGTGAAGCTAAGGATGGAGGATTCTGGACTAGCTGCTGAGCCCCCCCTGACTGTCAACCAGATGTTCACCTCGGCCGTGGAGCGCTTTGGCAACTGCACAGCTTTGGGATGGAAGGAGGGCGAACAGCAGAAGACCCTGAACTACAGAGAGTACTACCAGGCCTGTCGCACTGCTGCCAAGAGCTTCCTTAAGGTGTTTTTTTTTTTCCTTTTACTATTGGTTAACCTAGTGAAACCTAATTAAAACTCATCTATAACCAAGTCTTGAGTAAAGATTTAAAAGAAGACATTGCTGGCCTGATTTCAAGTGGAAGACTATTTCAAGGTTTAGAGCTCCTGAAGGCAAACACCCTACTACCCTCTGTCTCCACCCTGAACATCGGAACAGTTAGAAACAACTGGTTACCAGATGTCAGAAACAACTGGTTACCAGATGTCAGGCTACAAGCCGGGGTGTAGGTGTATACAGGGTGAGGGAAAGGCCAATCTGTGCCTTAAAAACAAATAAGACAAAATCCGAAAGACAAGTAACCAATGCAGGGAGGCCAGAGCAGGTGAAATGCGGTCATATTTTCTAGTTCTCATAAGAACCTTGGCAGCGGTATTTTGTACAAGCTGGAGCCGATCAATTGATTTCTGAGGCAAATCGCTAAATAAGGCATTGCAGTAGTACAAGTGGTTGTAAACAAAGGCATCCTGGAAGGAAAGAAAAGGTTGAATCGTGGCAATGCCCTCTTGTTGCGTTACCTTTTCTTGGTTTTATATCACCACTTTAAATGTATTATAGGGTTTTGGACTGTTAGTTTGAAAAAGCAAAACCAGGCTCGAAGAGCATTATGGACATTTTTCATAAAGTAAAAGAAAAAACTGAAATGAAAATAGTCACAAAATGACTGGTGGTTAAAGTGTAGCCTTTAAAAATAGATTTACCTTTAGTTGTGTGTATAAATGTGTGCTTAATTTCAGATCTACTGTTTGTTGCCAAACCCAGTTTCAACATTTGCAGATTTAAGCCTGGAGAATTTTGGAACGAGGTGTTGCTCAATTAGAGTGTTTGCTCAGGTAGCCCCATATTAAAATATATGAAACTTCTCAGTTTTAAAAGTGTAGAGACAAATATCTGTAAAGTACATGCTCCCAATAGAGGACAGCACCCTTAACAGAAATCGATTGGTATTCTCAGACCTTTATGTATTGAGTGAGAATTGTTGTTGTCATTGTCTTGTGCCAGTGGGGGAGGCAGCTCAAGACAAATCTCAGTTCTTCCAGGACAAAGCATGTTTTTGTGTTGTGAAACTCTCAGCAGGGGTCATGCACTCACAAGGACACGCTAACACATATCTACAGTACTTTTAAGTCTGCAAGAGGGTTATCTTTCCATCTACAGAAGTTGAGCTTTAGGTGTCAAAGCTCATATTGTACTCCAACTATTGTTACAAAAGATTACCTGAGTAATTTAAAACGCCAATTGCAGCCTCGTGTACATTTGCCCATATATCTGATTCCACAACGGCTACTATATACGTGATAGCTGGGGCGTCACGAGGGCAGAGACGTACCACATGAACTGCATTTGGTATCGTTCACCGCTGCAAAATTACTTCAACATTTTTAAATGAAAAAAGATAAATAAAACTAAGTCTAGAGGGAAGACAGACTGCATCGTACATAAACTGCCCTGACTAAATTATAACCTGAAACTGAATCTGAGAATATCCCCATATTTTCTAGGACTGTTTAACAATGGGTTTTTGTATTTGAGAGTTAAAAGGTGTGTTTTGTCTTTTGGCAGCTCGGTTTGCAGCGCTACCACAGTGTCGGCATTCTGGGGTTCAACTCCACTGAGTGGTTCATCGCTGACATTGGCGCCATTTTGGCAGGGTGAGTTTCAACTTCATCTCTGAATTTGAATTTATGTAATTCTAAGTGACAAAGTCAGTATTCCCTCAGTCGGGGCTTTATTCTCAGCTCTGTGTAGTTACAGTGTCAGGTGTATGCTATTGAATTTTGTTGCAGCTGGTTGTTTAAATTAAACAAGCTTTGTTCTTTAAATTAACTGGCTTCTTTCTCCTAGGGCTTTGATTAAAAACAAAAATTGGAATTAAGTGGGCAACCTGTGTAATTAATTAACTGACCAGCAGTGTTCCTCTTACTGTTGATACTCTGAGTATGTTTTTCTGATAAGGATAAGTACTTAAGTGTAGTTTTAAATACATATACTTGTAATTGAGCATTGATGCATTGCTATATTAGTACTTTTGCATTTTGGGTACTTCATCAATGAACTGTCTAATTAAAGATCATATAACAGTAATCACAAGCCTCTCTGCTTTCCTGACTGCATAAATATTCTGTGTTGATGGTCCCAACACAACCCAAACCTTTAGCTTTGCTTCACTAATACTGTAAATCTAAAACACACCAAGATCATCTGAGAAACCACCCACATGCAGCATTGAAGGTCACAGATCTACTGCAGCTGAGCTGGTCACATCACAAAACATCTGTTATGAGAACTTGGGTTTTTAACACCATCTGTCCAGTTTGAGCTGTGACTGACTTATTGTGTTTACCACAATTCTTGAAAGCCTGATTATATAAGTGCATTTAAGGAAATGAGTTTTGTTAATACAGAAGATCAGTACATGCCACATCTCTTCTCTTGACACGCCCCAGATTCCTACACCTGGCTCTCAATGCTGACGTGTAAGAATGTCATCTTGTCAAACTGGTCCTCATTAGCCAAATCATATAGTCTTTGATACACTGAAACTTTTGCGGCAGGTATGTTTCCTAGAAAGAAAAACAATTGGCTTGTCTCACTTTCCAACAGAAGTGAATGCAAGGTATTGTAACGCAACAATGCTGCTAAATTAGATTAGTTTCTGTTGTCCCACTGCCACTAGAAACCAGACAGAAAAAACATCAAGAAACAAAACAGACAATGGAAAACAAAAAGATTTGTGCTCGGTAGTCTTCCTGAAGTTTCCTGGTGATCAAGGTTATGACAACAGTGTAAACTACTCTGCTCAGCATTAAAAACTACACTACACTAAGCCCACTACAGAGGAATGTAGGTCAAGAGATGGATGTGGGACATCAGGTCACAGTGTTCTATGGATTCAACAAAGGGCCTCCTATAGCAGATTTCCATATAAAGTCCTCACAAAGTAACACAAGAGGAGTCTTTGAATTAGTAAAATTGTAAGAGAAGTCAAGTCTGAGTGTCCTTTGTCTGTTGCAGTGGGTTTGCTGTGGGCATCTACACCACCAACTCTCCTGAGGCATGCCAGTATGTAGCAGAAAACTGCAAGGCCAATATCATTGTGGTGGAGAACCACAAACAGCTGCAGAAAATCCTTCAGGTGAGATCAGAAGGAGTTATCAGCTGCATTTAAATATTGTGGACAACTATGAATGAGTGATATACAGCACACATAACCAATGTATCCGCTCAGAGGTATGGTTATTGTATCTGTTTGCTCTCAGGTTGAAGACAAGCTTCCACACTTGAGAGCCATTATCCAATATAAAGATGCACTAAAAGAGAAGAGACCAAATCTATACACTGTAAGTGGGAAACATGGGAAAGGCTTATTTTTGTTTAATAAGCATCATCTAAGTGGTTTTATTTGTGTACGACAGTGGGCAGAGTTCATGGAGCTTGGCCGTGATGAGCCTGATGCTCCTCTTGATGCCATCATCGCCACCCAGAAACCAAACCAATGCTGCACACTCATCTACACCTCAGGAACCACAGGCCAGCCCAAAGGAGTCATGCTGAGCCATGACAACGTAAGTTACAGGAGCTAAGTGTTCTTAACCTCTGCAAACACCGAAGCAGCAGGTGTGACACTGACAGCAGAAACACTGCTGGTTTATAAGACCAGAAAAGTGCAGACTCTGCTGACATATGCAAAGATCAACACACTGCACAGCCTGTTAAGCACCACCTTTAGCACTGTGCACGTGGTTCAAGTCATTTTGGTAAGACTTTTACTTTTAAGGGAATATTTTTGCAATAATGTATTGGTAATAAGTAAAGAATCAGAATACCTCTGCCAGGACTCATCAGCTTGGCACCAAACTAAATCACTGATGCACATGCGTTATTCTTGCCATGTTGCAGTTATTTATAAAGTAAAAAAAACGACAGCACAGCATTGTCTTGTAAAAACATGCCTCCATGTGACCCCCCCCCCATACATACAACAATTCTGACATCATTAAATGCTTTCCTCTCTCCTTCCTTTCAGCTAACGTGGACCGCACTCTCTATCAGCCACCACGTGCACCTGACAACCGGCGCTGAGTCGGTGGTCAGCTACTTGCCCCTCAGCCACATCGCAGCTCAGATGGTTGACATCTGGGTTACCATGAGAGTCGGAGGGGCAACCTACTTCGCTCAGCCAGATGCCCTCAAGGTGAGATTTGAAGAGTACACCAACATGGGCACAAAACATGCACTTTTTGAAGTGCGGTATCTCTACATGCTTTTGTTTTTATATTAAAATAAAGCTCTTGGTGGTAATGGCATTTTTAAACTTGCCTTTTCAGGGATCTCTGGTAAACACATTGATAGAGGTGCGGCCCACAGCCTTCATGGGCGTCCCACGTGTCTGGGAGAAAATGCAGGAGAAGATGAAATCTGCAGGAGCAAAGTCTTCGACTGTGCGCAGGAAAGTGGCGTGCTGGGCCAAAGATGTCGGTCTGCAGACTAACCTGACCAAGATGAACCAGTACGTTATGAAATTACAGTTCTATTTGAACATGGCTGAACTGTTTCAATTGGTGTGCTTTCTTTTTCACTTATCTTTTTCCTCTCACATGAAACCACTGTGATTCAAGGTTGTCAGTGAACTGTTACTCAGTTTCTTGCACTCTTCATGTCTGTGCCATTTTAGTCATACAAAGAAAACTTAAAATGGGCAGATAATATTGTGCATCAGTTCAACATTGAATCTGAACAAATCTTTACACAAACCCTCAGAAACGGAGTATGTGGCCGCACACCGCTCAGCTATCGCATAGCCAAGAAGCTTGTATTCACAAAGGTGCGCAAGGCCCTGGGCTTGGACCGCTGCAACAAGTGCTACACTGGTGCTGCTCCCATCACCAGAGACACCCTGGAGTTCTTCCTAAGTCTGGATATTCCTCTGTATGAGCTGTACGGCATGAGCGAGAGCAGCGGCCCTCACACCATCTCTCGTAATGATGCCTTCAAGCTCACCAGGTACATTTTTCCTTTACACATCAGTTTGATAAGACTCAGAACCAATTCAGAATACATGCTTGAAAATGATGAATTAGAAAAATGTTATGCCCTGCAGTTGTGGTAAAGAGCTTCCAGGCTGCAAGACCAAGCTGCACAACCCAGACAATGAGGGAAACGGTGAGATCTGTTTCTGGGGTCGCCACGTCTTCATGGGTTACCTCAACATGCCTGAAAAGACAGAGGAGGCTATCGATGCAGAAGGCTGGCTGCACTCAGGTGACCTGGGTAAACATGACCAAAACGGACTCCTCTACATCACCGGGCGAATTAAAGGTACTTGTTCCAGATACCTTTTAAAGTTAATTCTCACTCAGACAGGTGTATTTGTACTGGATCTAGGACTTAGATTCTCTTTCTCATCATCTGTCCTTTTATAAGATACTTCAATCTGTTTTTATGTGATCAATTAAGCCCATCTCGTAACCTTTTGGATTTGATTTCAGAGCTGATTATCACAGCAGGAGGAGAGAATATCCCTCCGGTTCCTATCGAGGATGCAGTGAAAGAGGCTGTGCCACTGATTAGCAATGCCATGCTGATCGGGGACAAGAGGAAGTTTCTGTCTATGCTGCTCACCATTAAGGTAAAAAAAAAAAAAGCTACTGCAGAAACTGAAACTGAAAATTCTCTTTTCTACTTAAGTGTTATTGGAAAAAGTGTACTGAATAGGAAAAAATGCATCATCATTAGATCATTACTCCTGATGCATTTTACTTTCACAGTTTAACAATTTTATATAGAAACAACTTGTTAGTAAATTGATTAATTTGTAGACTATTTGCTTGGTTGATCAATTAGTCATCTGTAAAAGGACAGAAGGTAGCAGTCATAATATCCAGGAGACCAAAATGAAACCTTCAAATTGTTTTTGTCTGACCATGTCATCTAAAATTATTGAGCTCACTGTGATCTAAGATAAGGAGAAGCAAGAAATTCATATTTTAAAAAGATGGAGCCGTCAAAAAAAATAAAAATAGCTCCTGATTAAATGATTGTTTAGACTCTTATTTTACATATTGATCATAATTTATAATGGCATATATTTTACATGAAACTTTAATTTGTAAAGTATGTGTATTCAGTTACACCGCTTTCATGAATCTAGGTAAATGTGGATGGCAGTTAAAAGAAGGTGTAACGATCTGTTAAATCGTCTGAAATGTATCAGATGGAATCTGAAGATGTAACTTGCTGGAAACTGCATGTGGGACATGCATTTCAAAACCCGACTGGCTCTCAACCTTGTAACCATTCAATCTTTACAACTGTTTGTTTAAACTTAAGAGTTGTGTCTCATGACTGAGTGTAGATTTCCATCTGCAGTAAAAACCAAAGAACTGGCTTCTTAGACGTTTGATATCTGACACTGCCATCTGCTGGGCTTGGACAGAAACTGCACAAGCACGTAGTGGGGGGGTGCTGTATTAATGCTTGAACCTGCTTAGACAAAGCCTTGGAAACACAAATTAATATTAGGCAATAAAAACAGAAACCTTTCAAATGGGTTTGTCTCTGCAGTGCCAGGTAAATGCTGATTCAGGAGATCCAGAGGATGAGCTAACACCAGAAGCCGTGGAGTTTTGCAGGAAGCTGGGCAGCAACGCCACACGCGTCTCTGAGATCACAGGAGGCCGAGACCGGGCAGTCCACGCTGCCATCCAGGAGGGAATCAACCGAGTCAACGAGAAGGCGACCTCCAATGCTCAGCGCATACAGAAGTGGGTCGTTTTGCAGCGGGACTTCTCCGTCAGTGAAGGACAGCTGGGTGAGTCAGGCGCGGATGCAGAGTGCGCTGGCGGGACTTTATTTTACATGTTTGCCCTCGAGAGTACAGTTGTAGCTGAGGATTTTATGTTGGAGATGCAAATACTTGATATTTTTGTCATCACCATAGATTGTAAACCACTGATCTACTTCCATTAGATATAGTTTACTTGTGTTACTACTAAGGCTTACTCAAAAGTAATAACTGGTCCCGACCTGTTAAGTTTGCATCAGAATCAATGGGGCTTTTGCTGTATTACACAGCATCTGACCATGTTGGGTTTTGTTTCTACATTATTACATTGTGTTTGACACCTTTGTATGTGTTACTACACAATTAAATCAGTTAATGGTAAAGCTTAAACTACAACTGAGCTACTGCTGCAGCAACAGCTGCATAATTAACATCATGAATTCTGTGCTTGTTCCTCAGGTCCTACCATGAAGCTGAAGCGTCCGGTGGTGCTGAAGATGTACAAGGAGCAGATTGACAACTTTTATAAGGAGCTGGTGACTCCGACAACTCCTGACAACCCGCCACCTCCCAAATAGATCTGCTCCTCCGCCTGCAGGGAGACCCAGACCGTCTGTTAACATGCAGATACACTCCACCTCATTCCAACAACCTCCCCCTATCACCATTACTTCTTTTGTACAGATGTTTCTATTGCCTCACATTGATGTTGTTCAGCCTTGTTTACATTTTTGGGTGTTGTACAAAGAATCAAGCAGAAGCCATTGTTTTTGTTTGTTTGTTTGTTTTTTTCAAAAGCTTTGATTTTGCATATTCAGTAGCTGAGTTCAACTATTTATTTGCATCACTGGAAGGAGTACTAATACCTGATGAAGTAGCTAAGCAGCAGCTAAGCATAAGAAGACTGTACTGTAGCCTAATACTTGAGATGAAGAGAGAAGCAAGAAAAATACAAGATGTTTCGGAGTAGTAGTTTTGAAAACGTTTATTTATTTTCGGTTTGTCAAAGTTGGCATGGGCCAAATGAGCTTCAGCAATCATATCTGCTGCCCTTTCTTCTTTTGTCTTTGTCAGCCAGGACTTAAACAAAATTTTTGTTGTATGTGATTTGTGCAGAGGTTGATGCATTTGTAAACAGGCACTGAAATCTCTCATGACTAAAACAAGCAGAATGTTTTTCATGTTGTAAAAAGATGTCACTAAGCCAAAGTTAGTTTTTTTTTAAGCTGTAAGGTCAGAGTGACATTGTGTGCATGCTGACTCACAAACATGCTTGTTTTCTGACACTCCATCTGTGTAGATCTGCTGTGATTGTGTGGAATATTGTAATTATCTTTCCCCTACATCAAACACATCTTCTCACTCTATTTTATTTTTCAGCCCAGAAATTTCATGCAGCTTATTTCCCTTCACCCACATGTAGATGAAGTGTAATTGAAATGGGATAAATGTACATAATTTTAGATTACAGTTTATGGAAAGGGGCAAATATAGCAGCTGCCTTAAATTGTCCTTATTGGCTTGTTGTCATGCCTTATGTATCAATATACAAATGTCCAACTGCTTGATGTTTTAGACACCTTGAAAAAAAGAGGTTATTGCACTCCAAAAAGCTGATTAATATATATATATATATATATATAATAACTGTATATAAGCATACTGTACTCCAGTTATGAAGGTCAGTTTGTACTCAAGGAAGTTCAGGGTAATCAAAACAGGTCAGTGTCGTCAATTGTGTGTAAAGTTAAATAACAACAGTGGCTCAGTTTGTCTGGGTGAGCCAGTTTTCTACAGCTACTCACATTTAATGCAAGCTGATAAATGGTCATTCAACATACAGTAAAAATGAGAACTTGAAACAGTTTAAACCTGCAACATAAAGGTTTGGCATCTAAAAAGTACCAAAGGACTTAAACTTTAATGTTATTTAATGGTTTAATTACAGTACTTTCTATTTAATAAGACTTGTGCTGATTAAATGTTATTCTGCAAAGGCTTCAAACAGTTTCAGTGATCGATCACAAGACAGAAAACTGGACCTGACCCAAAAGACTGTTTCTTGTTAATATCAGGGAAACAATACATGTGCTGCGCTGCACTGCTGGAGAAAAGTGAAGCAGGCCTGTTTCAGTCTGCAGAAATGTGAATGTTTGTGCGACTCATAAAGGAATAAAAGCTGATTATGCTGATGTGTGGAACTCTTGGTTCTTTCTTTAGTATGTGGTAGCTTATACTGGCGCTATAGTGTGGGAGTCAAAGTCAAAGTAGCCTACAACAGTGTGAAACATCTTACACTCACACTGGTCACAAAGTAAAACTCCTCATTATGCAGAATTACTTCTTTCAAAATAAAAACACTGAATAATTATTACTGATGCATTATTGTGTAACCAGAAATGTAACGTAGCTGATTAAGATGGAATTAATCTTAAGTGATTTCTATATAAATTCATGGTTTTGATTATCAGCTGTGCTTCTCCTGCTATGTCAGGTCAAAACCTTAGCTCTGTGCAAGATCTCAACAACTCTTACTCCTTACCATTATCTGTCCCACCTGTGAGACACCAAGCCTCCACAGCAACATTGTTCTCTGTAGCAGACCTCTCCCAAACACAACTACCACATGCTATACATAGAAAGCTCCAAGTCTCGCAGTTTCAGCTACGTAAAGCTTTTTAGGATAACTACATCAATGCAACAGCCATTTTTTATTTTTCAGCAGTATACCACACACAACAGTCGCTCCCTACCTTTCCCTGCTAACTGGAGCACAGATGTATGCTGTTTACAATGCCCAAACATTTGAAGCTGGAGGTCGTTTTATCACAAGAATCCAAAGAATAAAATCCACCAAAGCACTAATCCAACAAACATACTAGGAAAAAGCTCAAAACCGGAGTAAATTTGTTTGCAATTTCAAACTGCTAGCTTCATTTTCTCTTCTGACTTTTTTTTTCCCGCTCTAATGCTATGTGACACAACTCCATATTGTCGTGTTCGGTACGCCCCATTTACCTGCGTATAGCTCTCCCATTGGTCAATAAGCACGTCAAACAATGTAGTCAGCTGACCAACTCGGAGAGGACAACCTAACCTCTTTCATTGCTGCTCAGGATAAGGACGTGCGTTGGGAAAATGATTGAAAGGCGTAAGAGCCAATGTGATTACGAGTTCATAATACTACCACGGAGGTAGGTAGGTAGGTACTTTATTGATCCCTCAATGGGGAAATTTCAGTGTTTCAGCAGCAATGGAGAACAAATAACATAACACCATGAGAAACAAACACCACACACACATCCTGGTAAATAAATTCCAAGTACTCAAAAATAGACAGAATCAAGTATTTGAATAATCAAGAACAGAATTTACATATGTGCATATTAACCATGCATTTTACCCCAGGATTTGAGTATTGCACCTCAGTTGACTATTACATAGTCCCTCATACTTTCACCTAGCTTATC